AATTTTATTAATAAAATTATATAAAATATTGTGATTTTAAATATTTTCTTAGTAAGTTTCTTTTAAGCTTCTAAGTACATATAATCGCAAAGACAAAAATACTTATATCTCGCGATCTACTGGGCTGATTTTAACGTTTTAACCGCCATTTTGATCGCAAGACACTTCTCTACAATATTATACAAAATAAAGATCTAACTTGTTATAAAGATCGCCTTTGTTATACAAATAAAAATCAGACTTTTCAAAAAATTACTAGTAGGTTATACAAATTTAAAGATATAACATATTGAAAAATTATATAATAAGTTTATACAAAATTAGATCTCAGTATTACATATATTCTTCAGGGTCCTGGTGTGACTCCAGCGACCAGGTTGGTAAATCTCTCTATCATAAGATTTTAACATTCAGTTCCACTAGTTTATCAGTTCTTAGTTTGGTTTAGTTCTTAGTACCCTTGTGATTCTCACTACTTCCAACTCAGGTCTTGCCAAACCAGTTCTGGATCTTCAAGTCCTCTCTATTAGTTTTTATTTTGATTTTGGTTTTTTGTATAATTTGTATTACTCAAATACTTTCAGAATCTTTCAGTACTGGTGTGACCGGAGTTACAGGTAATACAACCCAACTTATCAATAAATATCTATTATCATAATACAAATAGTTTTGTTTAAAATATCACCAGTAAAATTTAAACTTGGTATCTTAGTTACAAGCTAGCTTAGGGGTGCAACAACTCTACTACTTTACTATATTGCTATACTTTTTATAGTAAATTTATTACTATGATACAAAATATTTATATTCAACAATAATATTTAAAATACTAAAATTTTTTATATAGACAATATTTTTAAATCTAACTAATAACTTTGTTTTTTATAATAAGCTCTACAAAGTTACTAGTTAGATTTTTAAAATAATAATTTGTAAAAAGTTTTAATATTTTAAAGTTTATTTTATATATAAATTTTAAAATTTTAATATCAATTTTTAAACTGCTAAAACTTTTTATATAAAAGATTTTTTAAAAAACTAACTAATAATTTTATAAAGCTTATATAGCTTTATAAAATTACTAGCCAGTTTTTTAAAAACTCTTGTATAAAAAAGTTTAGCAAGTTGAAAAATTAAAGTATAATTGTTGTATATAAATATCTTGTACTATATATATAGTAAAAATTACAAAACTTTCAATAACTCTTTCTAACAATTACTTTTACTAAAAATTTCTAAAAACTTTATACTAAAAAAAAATACAAATAGCTATACTAAACTATAAAATATAGGAAATAAAACTGCAGAATAGCAATTATTGTTTAAAGATAGTTTTTATATGCTATCTGCTAGTAGTTTCAAAGTTTATCATTTACTGTAAATATAGTACTTGTTGTTTAGAGATAGTTCTTATATACTATCTGCTAACAAGCTTAGAGTTTATACTTACTAAAAAGATTTAGTACTATGCAAACTTTAGTGTAGACTATAGTAGAACCCCGAATAATATATATAGAGATTATATTGAAATTTTGAATAAAAAAAGTTACTTTTTTACTAAAATCTTATATTTGAAAAGCGGCTATTTGCCAAAAGATTATATTTAAAAGTGAATAAAGGCTTTTAATGTTATATTGTTTAAAATAGATAAAATTACAAATTTTAAATAAGTTATATTTAAAGTTTAGATAATAAAAAAAAAAAAAAAAATTTTTTTAAAAAAAAAGAAAAAAAATATTTGATATATTTGTTAAACAGGTAAAATTACTTAAATATTAAAGTTATATATAAAATAAAGTTAATTAGCTCTAATAAAAAGTGAATAAAATTTATAAAAAGTTTATATTAAAGCCAATATAACCTCTATATATATTATTCAGAGTCCTACTGTAATTAATTCTAATAAAAGAAACTTATACTCTTTTATTTTGTATACAAGTAGTTTTTTTTTTTTTTACTCTGCCTCTTTGTTACTTTTACAAAAATTTTGACAAAAAGTGGCTAAAATAGTTTACTCTCTTTAAAAAATTAGTATTGTTTACACTTACTATTTTCAATAAATGAAGTAGAATATAAATATGATATTATTTTAGCAATAATACTTTTACACTATATAATAAATAATCAGTACTTTGAATAACAAACTAACCCAAATCAGATACTCTAGTTGAAAGAAATTTTAAGAATAAGGTTTAGCTTTACAATAGAGATATACAAAATTTTTAATTTAGTATATAATTTTTACAACTATATTTAATATGGGCTATAATAGTGCTTTCATAAATTGTTATTTTTTTGGCTTTTTTATTTATTTATTTTTTTGTTATTTATTTTTTTGTTGCTTAGATAGTTTTTTTTCTTTTCTTTGTCTTCATTTTAGTATTAGTATTTTTTTTTTTATAAATTAGTTGGAGACTATAATTTCTTCTGCTTAAAAAGCTAGTAGAAAAGAAAGCAATCTTGATAGGCTATAAATACTATTTAATGATATATTGAAGTATCTATTTGCAGGATTTTTGATATGAAAATAGCTTTAGATAATTTTAGTTAAAATTATATTTTCTCAGTGAGTTAAATATTGAAACCTAATAAAATATTAGCAAGATTGCTAAATTTATAAAAAAAAATTATAAAACTTGCAAATTATTTATAATTTAATATATTAAATATATAGAGAACTCTCCCCAATGATCACTCAACACAAAAGCAGCAGAGAGATAAAAGTCAATACTATGCCAAAACACAGCAATAAATACTATATTGAACACTATTTCACATAGAAAGAGCTTGTAAAAGGTAACCCAGCTAGCAACAAGTGTAATAACAGTAAACCCAAAAAATAAAAAAGTATAAACAGTAGTAGAAAGTTGGCTATTCGGTGTTAAAACTCAAACAAGACACTATTCAGCCTACTACAAACAGTCATAGGGAGTTAAATAGTTTGGCAAAACAATTTAATATAGCAATATTAAGGTGTAAAGGATGACACAAATTACTACTTTGACACGAAGAAAAACCTCTTTCTTCATGCTAATAACTTTGGGAAAATAGCGTTAACCCTGTAGTACAAATCCTTGAAGTAGCATAAGTACAACAAACAAAGTCACACTACAGTGCACAAGCAAAAATATTGATTTTACATGTAATAACACGTGAGAAATACATAAAATCACATACAATTTGCATCAAAGCCGAACATTAAAATTTAAACAATAAACATGACAAACAGCCAAATACGACATATATCACATGAATTACAAGCAAAGAAGATGCTAGAGCTTGAAAAGTACAAAAATTTCTTTAAAAAAACTAATGAGGAAAAACTAGCACTGTACAACGAACAACATACAACACTATTAAAAAAAAACAAACAGGTTGCAGAATATTTAAGTACAAAGGATCCCTATCTAATTGCAATTATTCGCAATGTACTATGTATATATAGCTGGGCCTGGCATAGAGAGACAAGAGAACAGGAAATATCTAGTGAAGAGAAATGCCTTCTTGGATACAATACTGCAGAAGATAACTTCCAAAAGAGGGATACTAATAGAAACCTCATAGCAACTTTAATGGAAGTTAGCTATACAAACCCAACCACATTGGAGACTAGTGCCAAAAATAACACATTAGAGGAAAACTTCGACAGTATACACAAAAGAAGCTTTGCAGAACATAAGAACAGCAACAATATAGCAGAAAATAGCTATGAAACTAAAATAGAAGCTCTTGTGCAAAATAAATATGGTACCACAGATTATGGCTTTGAAGAGCAAATTGCAAAAGGGGCATTTAACAACAAAGACTCCAAAGATAAAAAACATAACAAAAGGCCTAAAAGATATGAGGATATATATAGCTTAGCCTAGGCACCGAAAGGAAAACTCATATCCAAAAAGAACACTATCAAGTCTAATTATTTTTTTACTCTCTGGAATCTCCCAAAATATATAAGTGGAAATGAGATAAAGAGATATCTAGAATTCTTTGGCTCAGCAACAATATTAGCCTGGTAGCATGGCTTTCATACAAAAGCAGCATATATTAAAATAGTGTCAAATATAGAAAGCTGAGAAAATGTATTAAGAGAGAGCTGGTTGGTTCAGTTAGACCAGGAAAAGACGTATAGAATAACACCTGGTAAATTCAATCATACAGAACTGACAGAAGAAACAGGTTTAGAAGTATAATTTTCAATATTCCAAAAACAGCATATGACGGTTTACTACTTCGACAGTTGAAAAAATACAAAGTATAAGCGGTCTACACTTTAGATAATTGGCATAGCAATCGTAACAGAAGGGCACATATCTATTTTAAATCAAAAGAAGATATGGTTCAGGCCCAAGAAGCAAGTCTCTATTACTTTGATACTAGACTAGAGTAGTGAATATCCACAGAGGAGTGTGAGAATAAAAGCCATTTAGATAGCCAGTTATACAAAGAAAACTTAGCTGAGAAAACTACTAGCTACAAAGAAGAAAAGCAAAAAGAAGAATTGAAAGGCGCTTGTAACTCAGAAACCAAAAGAAAAAGAGAAGATCTAGATATACCAAACTTAGAAGATAGAAAACCTAAGTAGAATAGAATACTTAAAAAGAAAAATAGCAACAATAGATTGAATTTAGCAGGACATGAAAACCAGCCTGAGAAGAATAGTTATGACAAAGAGAACTAGGCAGTTAAAGACCAGAATAAAACGAAATGTATAGAGAATAGAGACCAGGCAGACGACAACTCAGTTCACAACATGTTATTGCAAATTTTGAACAGACTTGACAAACTTGAGAATCAGAAAGTGCTTCCCAGTACCCCTTCTACTAGAAACTCCCTAGCGGATCACTTCTAAAAAGGCGCCAAGGGCAAATCAATGAATAACTCTGGGATATACAAAGGTAAAGAAAGGGAGCTAGCAAAGAATATCCCAGAGAAAAAGAAGCTTCTAAAAGGATCAAATAAGCAGAAAAGCACATATGAGTATTTTAAAACTTTAAACATTAGGTTTCACAATATTAATGGTATTAAGAACAATAAAAACAAACTGAGAGCAGTTATAGACTATGCAGAAGAAAAAAATAGACATCTTGGGTCTAGAAAAAACCAATATTAATAATACAGAAGGCATCTTTGCAACTAAGGACATTGAGGCTTATAAAAGTTTTTAGACAAGTACAGAGGAAAATAAGAAGAAAGGGTCAGGCTTTGGGGTGCTAATCAAGAAATATTAGGAACAACACATCACACAGCTTGATCAGGATAGCCGTACTTTCTAAAGCTGTCTCTCGACTTCAAAAACTTTTCTATAGTAATAGTATTTGTATATGTCGCTCCAAGTGACAAAATAATACAAGAAGAGATTCTAAACAAATTAAGGAAAACTTTGAAGAAACCAAGCCGAAAACTCAGCGGTTTGTAATTTTAGAAGATCTGAATGTTAGCACAGGCAGTTTGGAAGAAAATGCCTTCTCTAGCAATACAAACTCCAAAAGTAAATTGAAACAAAAAATTCTGGCCTTACTAGAAGAAAAAAATCTATATGATATACAAGAAGCCTTACAATTACCTATATAGTCGAATAGTATTAGTAAATCAAGAATCGACTATATTTGGGTCTTTAGTATTTAGAAGCAAAATATAATTAGCTCTAAAGTAGATGATATGGACCTATATATGATAAGTGACCACAAGCTTATATGGACAAGTATTGTTATAGAGTTAGATCTAAGAAAAACTATCCCAGCAAAGTTAAGACAGAAAAACTATAAAAGAGTAAACTTGGACCTAGACAAGGTATCAAAAGAAGACTGGAGTTTATACAAAGAAGATCTGGGGAAGAAACTTAAAGAGCATTGGTGCAAATACAAACTAAAAAGTATAGATAATAAGTGAGACATTATAGAAGAGTGTATTCAATTAGCAGCTAATGAAAACCTTTTAAGGAAAAGTAAAATACCTGAGATAGAGCAAATTAGTAGAGAAAGTAGAGAGCTAAGGGCGATTAGATTAGCAGTCAAAGTATGCAACAAGGGGTATCACAAATTAAAAAAAGAGGCACTACATGAAGGAGATGAGATGAATATTATTAATACACTCATACAGCTTAAAGAAGATTACGGCATTGACTTGGAAACAGAAACCAAGATACAAAGTAGTGAAAACTTAAAAAACTGGGCAAAAATTCTGCACAAAGAGTGGCGACAAAAAATTAAAAAAGCAGAAGAAGCTAAAATAAGAAGAAGCATAGAAGACAGATACAGCTTTATAATATCCAACCAGCGAAAGATACTAAATAGCCTTTTAAGTCGCTCTTATAGATGAATCAAAATAGACAGAATAGTCAAAGAGATAGAGGGCAAAGCAGAACTAGTATATGAGCCAGAAGAGTTACTTAAAGAGACTTGTGAACATTTTGAAAAGCAGTTTCATAAAAGAAATACAGCATAGCTAGAGAAAATATCAGCTAGGTGGAGAAATCAATATGCCCCAAGAAAAGATATCGAGGAGACCTGGTACAAAGATACGTTGAATACAATCAGCCTAACCAGGCTCTGGAACAGGTCAGTCCCAGGCACAACAGGCATTACGTACCCACTAATCAGAAATGTAAGCTTAGACACAAAACAGATTTTTATTAAGTTCACCTCTAGATGTATTGGAGAAGGCAAAATACCAAAAAAGTAGAAGCTAGGTATGTTATATTCAATACTTAAAACAGAAGACTGGTGTTTTAACCTGAACAATGTATGGCCAATATTACTCTTGGAATCTTTCAGAAAAATGGTTGTAAGAGTTGTAATAAATAGACTAGCAAAGATTATAAAAAAAAGAAAAGTGCTTAAAGGAAGAAACTTTGCAGGCCTCCCTGAAGAAGATACAGCAGCACCAGTACATCTAATTAACTAACTCATAGAAGAAGCAAAAGAGAAAAAGAAGGAGCTTTGGTTGATGTTCCAAGATATGAAAAAAGCATTCGACTTTATAGGGCTAAAGATGCTAAAGCTGGTGCTGCAAAGAATTAAGATTTCAAATACACTAACACGATTCATTAAGAGATTCATAGCAGGGGATGGCATAGACCAAGGGGAGGTAATTTTGCCCCTAGTCTGGAGAATCTTTTATGACCCTCTGCTAGTAGAGATACAAAGTTGTAGTAAACAAGAATACAATCTAGAAGTTCATTGGCCAAAAGATCTCAGTAGAAACAGCACCTGCCTCCAATAGCTAAATATTCCAGTCATGCCTATGCAGATGACACCATATTTGTCGCATCAAGCAAAGAAAAGTTGGAGGAGATCATCAGTATCGCACAAGAATTCTACAAAATAAATGATATAGAAATTAATAGTAAAAAATCAGAACTATTAATAATAGATAACAAAAAGACAAATGAACCAAGGTGCATAGAAATAGGGTCTTCAGGTGAAAAAATAGTTGAAAAGAAAGCAAATGAAGCAACAAGATTCCTGGATATATGGCTATCTAGAAAGAACAACTACTCACATATAATAGATATTGTAAAAAAAGAAATCCAAACAATCATTAAGGCAATATATAAAAAGAATACAACACTCACATAGCTAATCTATATCAATAACAAAGTACTGATCCCAAGGCTGGAGTACCGAATACAATATTGTATAATATCAAGAAATCAATGCGACAGACTGCAGAGTTCTCTGCTAAAACTCATCAAAAATAAATCAGATCTAGCAAGCATAATGGCAAATGCAATCTTGGCTCACAAAAACATAGCAGGCTTTAGAACAATTTGGCAAAACCAAATGGCACATCACATGACAGAGCTAAGAAAAAGAATCAATAGTAATAGTGAGATTGGCAGAGCAACTTGGATTAAAATCCAACAGACACAGATAGACTGCAAAAGCACAAAGTGCATAATAAGCATCGAGCTTAATAGGCAAGAGAAAGTTTATCTTAAACACAACCCTACTTATAAAATTCTTCTTGAGGCCAAGAAAATGAATCTAAGTATAAGATCGAATGAATAGAAAAAAAACCTAAAACTAGTAGAAGCATGTATAGAAATTATTAATTTTCTGGAGAGAAAAGAAATAATAAGCTTTATACAAGAAAAAGAGATAGGCATTATAGCACTTGAGCAGGTTCTAGACAGTACAGGAGATAAGATGCTTGCATGAAAACAAATTAAAAAATGCAAGAGACAAAAAGCCTCTGGGAAAACTCCTATCTGGTTTAGAAAAATAGAAAAAAAAGTGCTTATAAATCTAAACAGTAGACAAGTCAAACCAGAGTTTAAGATGAAGACACCCAACTACCTATCTCCAAAAGTAGATAACTTACCGATAAGTTGAGACAAAAGAAAAAAGGAATAGATGTTATATAAAGCTGAAGATATTATCAAAGTAGGGAAAGTTTGAAAAAAAAGAGAGAAAAAAACTGTCTTAGTTGAGTATTGGAAGTCTATTACAGACTCTCAAGAGAACTTAACTAAACTTGTCAAGTATAAAGGCTGTAATCGAAGCCCAGTAGCAGACACAAGTTCAGAAGGCCACTGTGTCAAAAAAGTAAAAAGAAGCAAAGTCTTCACAATTTGCTCTAAATTTATAGAAAAGGTCAATTCGCAAGAACAAACAGGGGTGTTGTGCGTACTAATAAGCTGCTTGACAAGCACAAACCTATATGACAGGGCATCAACAACGAGTACAGAGATTACACAAGAATCACACCTAAATGACATCATTATACACCTATTAGAAATTGAGATAATTGGTCAAGCTTTAGAGGATACACAGGCTACAAAAGAAATTAAAAAAGCTGCAACACAACTTATGGGAAAAAAACACATTGTTTTCTACACTGATGGCTCTTTGCTCAATCCAACAGAAGAACCCAAGAAAAAAAAAAAGAGGCTTGGCTAGGTGGCCTTTGGGGAAGACAGAGCAAGATTCAAAAGGCAACCACTAGTTAACTTTTATAGTACTATAAAAGACTAGCTATCATCCACAAAAGCAGAACTTGGTGCTATTTGGATAGCTCTGCTGGTAGCTCCTTGTAAGTTCTTAGTAGAAATCTACACTGATAGTTTAGCAGCAATTCAGGCAATTCAGATAATTCAGGCAAGCCAAAGCAAAAAAAAAGCTTATGACATAGTAAAAAGGAAAAATTTTTGTTTATTGGAACAAATCTGGTATACAGTAGAACTGAAAGAGCTTCAACTTCGCTTAAAAAAAGTAAAAGCACATAGTGGAATAAAAGAAAATGATAAAGCGAACAGACTTGCAAAAGAAGGAGCTTTTAGTTCAACTCTGATTAATCCAAAATGGCCATGAAATACTCAAGCAATTTCTGAACTTAAGTGGAAGAACCTTAGAGTTAATGATGCAACAAGAAGTTTTATTATACAACTTATAGGGATCAGTATTGATGTAGAATGGAAAAACCTGAAAAGTATCAACAAGTAGGTGGATAGAGACCAACATGCAGAAACAATCATGTGGAAAGAGGTGTGGAAAGACCTGAACCACGTGAAGGGCACAAACTGTTTAAGCACAAAGCAAAATAGAGATTGGGTGTTTAAAATTAAATGTTTGAACAGTTTAT